CGGGGTGGCCCCCAGTACATAATCTGCACTCAGCGCCTTGCCTCTCCAGACCCGCTCCTCTGGGGGCCCTGCCTCGAGGGGTCCGGACCCGACACCCTGACACCCCCCCCCACCAACCCAACCCCAACGCCATCGGGGACCTTCAGGCCCTTGGGCGTCACCCTCAATCCAGCCTCATCAGCCCTCCACACCCAGGGCACTGGCCTCCCACTAGCTGCCCCCCCCCGCACGTGCGTTACTCCTCAGCCTTCAGCTCCGCGCCTCCGACGACGGGCCACCCTCGCAGCCCCTACATGAGACACCAGCCTGTGCTCTGTTTCCTGCTGTTCTCCACAGGGGCGCTCTCCGTGCCCACCTCTTCACGGCCATATACACACCACCTCCTCCAGGAAGCCCTTCCTAATCTACCCTTTCCCATTTCTGGAGGTGGTTTTTCCATCACCTGGGTCCCACGCATAGTCCTCTGTCCCTCACAAGCCAGGATCGGGGATTTCAGATCGGGGATCTCCTAATGGTGGGCGCATCCGGGCAGGAAAGGGGAGGCCAGGGTGCCGCGAGCCTGCAGGCTGCAGCACAAGCCAGTGCTTGGTCCTCCAGGCAGCGGGAGCCGAGTCTTATCACACCCCCCTGGAGATGCCTGAGCGGGCCGCCCCCAGGGGTGGCTGTGGGGGTCCCGGCTGCACCTCCAGGCTTAGGCCAGGAGTGCGGGGGTTAGGGGGTGTCCCAGGCCCAGCCTGGTCAGCAAAGGCCAGCTGCACAGCACCCCGGCTCGCAGACTGCTTGCTGCCAGGGGTCCTCAGCCCTGCTGTCTGGGCTGCGGGGAGGAGGGGGCGAGGGGAAGCGTCATCTGGCCTGGGCCCCACTACGGAATTCTGTGCACAGGAAGCTGCTCAGAGGATTAAAAATCAAACATAGGGGCGCCTGGGGGCTCAGTCGGTTAAGCGACTGACTTCGGCTCAGGTCATGATCTCACGGTTTGTGGGTTTGAGCCCCGCGTCAGGCTCTGTGCTGACAGCTCAGAGCCTGGAGCTGCTTCAGATTCGGTCTCTTCCCCTCTCCCTACCCCTCCCCTGCTCACGCTGTCTGTCTCTCTCTCAAAAAAAAAAGAAAATAATAATAATCAAACACCAACCAGAGCCCTTACATAAATAAGACAGGAAGAGACGCGGTCTGAACCTGCACTGGGCTTGCACAATAGACCCGGATTGTTAAATTGCAAACTGCCCTTGGGCTCTATATTCTGAATTAACGTGTGCGTCAAGGCCTACCTGTCCGTGGTGGTGGTGGGCAGGGAGGCTCCGAGGCTCGCGGGCTCCAGCTAAGCGCAGCCTCCTCCCTATATGGACACGACGAGCGCGGCTATGTCTATCATCCCACTGGTAGATACGCATCCACCGCGGAGATGGGAATATGCAGAACTCCTGGAGAGGTGGTGAGCCCCTGTCCTTGGGGGTATGCAAGGAGGGTCGGGGGACTCACCTGCTGCACGACAGATGGCGCACCTACTGTGCGCCAGCTGCTGGAGCAGGCCTGGCGGGGAACAACTAGGCCGGGCCCCCCTCCCCTGTGAGGCTCAGAGCCTGGTAAGATGGAAAATAAGGCCGATGGTTCGGGTCAGAGGGGTGACATGAGGGTCTGGAGGGAGCCCGGGGTGTGCTTGTGAGGCTGACGAGGGGGTTGCCCGGGTGAGGTTGTCAGGGAAGGCACCTCAGAGAATCTAGGCCCAGACAGATGAGGCCATGGCTACATGAAGGTGAGGAAATGGGCACTTGGGGCCGCAGGCACAGCATGTGCAAAGGCCCTGAGGTGGGGAGAAGGGCAGGCTGGAGCACAGAGGATGAGGTGGCCATGCGGGGGGCGGGGGGCGCAGATGGCACAGGCCCTTGTGGGTAAGTGTTGGGGATTTGCCAAGGGGGTCCTGCCAGTGACTGGCAGAATGGAGGAGGCCACGGTGCGGGGATAAGTACCAGCCGTGGTGGCTTGGGGGACGTTTCTAGGTTGAGCCAAAGACTCGCCCATGGCCGGGAGGTAAGGAACGAGGGGAAGGAGACCAACGCTTCCGGCCAAAATTTCCCAGGACCACGGCCAGAAGGGATGCAGGGGGAAGAGGCGGGCGGGGGTCACCAGCGCCCGGATATCTGAGGGCAGGGCGAGGCAAGGGGGCAGCTGGCGGGAATTCCGTGCAGAAACGCCCGGGCCGGGCAGCACCTTACGTGTGGACGTCACCTGGCGCCTCTGGCTGCACCCTTGGGAGGACGGGGCTGGGGGGAGTGGGGACTGAGCCCAACAGGGCTGGAGACCTGGCCGAACCCGCCTCCAGGCCCTGGGACCCTGCCGTCCCCCGCCTGCAGGAGAAAGCCTGGGGCCCACGACGGGGCAGCCAGCCAGGGCCCAGGCCCGGCCAGGCGACCTCAGACCCATCGCTGGACTCCTCCTGCCTCGCTGAGCGCATCTGCGGCGCACGAAGGACCAGACTGGCAAAGCCAGATGGCACGGCGCTGGCCCGAGACGCCGGCGCGGCAAGGGTCCGGTAAGGACCGGATTCCGCACCTGCAGCCCGCAGAAACCCGGGTGTCTGAGGTCCCTGTGCCTGCGACCACGAGCGAGGGGCGGGGCCGCGAGCGGGGGCGGGCCCACGAGCGAGGGGCGGGGCCGCGAGCGGGGGCGGGGCCACGACTGAGGGGCGGGACCCCGAGTGAGGGGCGGGACCCCGAGTGAGGGGCGGGGCCGCGAGCGGGGGCGGGGCCACGGCTGAGGGCGGGGCCACACAGACACAAGGTGCACCGCGCTCCTGGAACCCAGTCCCAAGCCCACCATGCTGCTCAGACGCCGCCAGCCCCTCTCTTTAAAAGGCCCCGTCTCCCCCCTACCCCGAGGCCCTTGCCCTTTGGGCTCTGGCCGTGCTGGGGTCCCGTGAGGCCACGCCCTCCGCCTCTGCTTTGCTGGGGTTCCTCCTGCCCACCCCATCCTTTGTTGGGAGAGCCCCGCCCACCTTCCACAGCTCAGCACAGAAGGGGGGAGGGGTTAAGCAGGCTGCCCAAGGCCACACAGCAGAGCCCCAGCCCGTGACCTCCACACCTGGGGCCATCTCTTGTCTGCTGAGCGACCTGTGCACCCGTCCACGGTCGGGCTCTTGCCCTCTTCTCACCCTCTGACGTGTCTCCCCACCCTTCAAGTTTCTCCAGGCCACGGACAGGGGCTGCCGGTCATGGCACCCCTGCCACCAGCCTAGGGCCAGCTGGACACACATAGAAGGTGCTTTATGAATGTGGACTCGGTCAGTCAAGAAAGGAGGGTTTCCAAATGCTCAGGCCACCTCCAACCTCCCCACCCTCCCCGCCGCCAGCCTGGAGCCCTGTTCTAAGAGCATCCCCCACACAGGGAGTCAGGGTTGGGGGTCCCGTGGATACCTCCAAACTCTAGTGGGCAGGGCCAGCTGCGCCCCGAGCCCCCCGTGTCTCAGAGGCATCGGCCTGGCCTGAGATGGGCCTGCCAGTCCCAAGCCCCAGGGCAGAGGGGCCACCCGCGAGGGGCCAGGGTCTCACTGAACACGAACCACGAGCCTCTGGCTCCGTGGCTCCCGGCTCTCACCCCCGCTCTCCCGGGCACCATCTAAACACACGCCTGAGCGTATCACCCTCACCTGCCTCCAAGCCCTTCACTGGCTGCCTCAAATAACCACACACAATCCTATGTCGTGTTTCCCAGACTGGGCTCTTCGGAACCCCAGTGTGCCAGGAGGTCGTCTGTGTGCTGACACTCTCAGGAAACGCTGGGTTTTACTATTTTGTGTGTGTGGTGTGGGGGAAGGGGTTTCTCATCGCAGGTTTTCTCCGAACTCCTGAAGGACTGGGGCGTCGTGTAAGTCACCACGTCAGGGACACGGCTCACTTTCCCGAAGTGTCGGGGCCAGGAGACACTTATTTCAGGAATACCAGACACGATTTGGGAAGTGTGGCCTTCAGGATGAAGTCCAAGCCATCGGCACGACACTTGTGGTCACTGGCCACCCGTCCCTGCCGACCTGCCCGGCCCTGGGTGTCACACACACACCCCCGCGCCCCACTGCACACCAGATGCTCTGGGCTCCCCGCTCTTCCCGGTGCGGCTCGCACGGGCCGCAAAGCCTCCACGCGGTGGCTCCCGCTACTCCCGCTTCCCGGGAGCCCTTCCCTACCGCTGCCTGGAAACGCTGTCCCCGCAGTCTGGACGCTCCTCGTCCCTGAAGGCCCCCAGGGCCTGCATACCCATCCCCGAGGTCAGAGCCTCCCGCCCTGCAGCTGTAAACTGAGGGCACACGCAGGTCTCGACTCACCCCGTGAACCGCAGGCTCAGCGCCCAGCACACAGTGACCACAAGTACCTGCCTTCCTAGGAGGCGCCCCAAACAAATAAGGGATTTTCTAGCATTTTCTAGCAGGTTTTCTAGCATTTTCTCCACACACAAGGTCAAGCTGTGTGGCCAGGAGCAGCCCAGGCCGGCTCCGGGTGGGGGAGGCTCTCCCCGGGTTCGGAGGGATCGAGGAATTTCCTGCCCCAGCAGCCTGTCCCGGGAGGCCCCGGGCTGGGCAGAGACCCCACACACTAGCTCACCATTCCCGACCAGGTCTCTGGAGACAGGCACTCTGAGAGCGGCTCAAAAGAAAGCGCTGGATGCCGCGCTCAAGAGAACATCAGACTCGGTTAGATTTAAGGCCAGGAAAGGCTGCTTTCACCCGACCCGCGGGCCGAGCGGGAGAGGCGAGCAGCAGAGAGGACACAGGACGCAGGTAGGTGCTGAGGCCAGACCCCCTCGGTGGCCAGGAGAGCGCCGAGCTCCGCTTTTAAACTGCTTCTGTGACCCTGGGCCTCAGTTTCCCCACCTGGAAGACCAGGGGTCTGGTCGGGTGATTTCTGCCCGGCGAGCGCGGACCTCGAGGCTCCTCCGAGCTCTGCGCCTCAGTTTCCCCCGGAGGCGCCTCCACGTCCGCCCTGCGCGCGTCGCCCCAGCCGAGCGCTTACCCGCCGGGCAGGCGCCCTTCTGCAGCTGCCGCACGGGGGTCCCGGAGAGCTGCAGCGCGCGCCGGCTGGCCGCCTGCAGCGCGCACACGTTGGCGTAGGTGTGCCCGTCGGTGCCGCACACGGCGTGCGCCCAGCGGCAGCGGCACACGCCGCGCGCGCACTCCAGGCTCTCCCCGCACGGCGAGTCGAGGGGGCGGCCGCAGGGCTCGCCCTCGCTGGCGGCGCACACCAGGCAGCAGTTGCACTGGTCGGGCACGTAGCCGCCCGGACAGCGGGGACTCGGGCACCGGGACACGTCGCAGCGCGCGGGGCACGACGCCGCCGGGGGCTCCCGGGCCAGCGCCAGCGCGGCCAGCGCGGCCAGGAGCAGCGCGCGCGCCTGCATCGCGGCCGGGCCGGCGACCGGCGGGGACGCGAGGCGCCGGCGGGGCCGGGCTGCGGCCGCCTGCGGCGGGGACGGGGCCGGGCGCGCGGCCACACGCGCAGGCGGCTCAGGCGGGCGCGCAGCGGGGCCGCGGGGCCGTGCGGGGCGCGGGGACCGGAGAGGCGCCTGCTCCGTCCGGGCCGACGCTGCGGGCCTAGGGCCCCGCCGCACTTAAAGGCGCCCGCGGCCCGCCCTCGCTGGAAGGAGCGGCCCGGCCCCTCGGCCGGCCCCGCCCCGGCCCCTGCCGGCCCCCGCCCGGCCTTGGCCTTCGCCTTCCGGGGCCTGGACCCTCCCGGCCCGCCGCCGGGCGAAGGGCTTGCTGGGGGCCCTGAGAAGCGGGACGGCGGGAGGAGGCGTCACCGGGGCCCGGGCCTCGGGCACTCCCAGAGCCCCCGTGCCAGCCACGTCTCTGTCCGGGCGCAGGAGTCCTCTGCCCGAGGAAACTGACAAGTCCGGCTCTCCCTGCCCCCCCCCCCACCAGCACGTCCCCCCGCCCCCCGGGCTCCAACTCCAGCTTGGAAGCCAAGATGTCACCCCCTCATGGCTCCCCGCCTCCGCTGGGGACAAAGCTTCAGGAAGCTTCCGCCAGACGCCCGGACTTCGCTCCTCAGAGCTTGGCGGGTGCGCCCTCTTACTGACGCGCCTGACACACTTCTGCCTGGGGGTTCCAGCCCTCGGTTCTCTATGACGCTGGCAGTTGTCTACAGCTCTGTGCCTCAGTTTCCCCCTCCACCAGAGGGGGACGAAGAGCGCTTTGCGAGCTCACAGGATTGCTGGGAGAGCCCCACGGAGGGACTGGGATTCGGGACCCTCCAGCCGACCACAAACCAGCTGGTCACCACCGGGTCAGAGCTCGGGAACAAAGGCAAATCAGAGCGGCGACTCACTGGGCAGGAAAACACGCCCGTGCGCCCTGAGCCCCGCCAGCCACCCGGTGAAGTCTGGGGAGGCTGCCTGTCCGAGGCTGCTGTCCGTAGATGCATAAGACACACCTCGAGGCCTTTCAGCGGAAACGATGGTGCCAAAATGCAGGGATTAAAAGACATGAAACGGGGGCACCCGGGTGGCTTAGTCGGTTGAGCGGCCGACTTTCGCTTAGGTCATGATCTCCAGTTCGTGGGTTCGAGCCCCGCGTCGGGCTCTGTGCTGACTGCGAGCTCAGAGCCTGGAGCCTGTTTCAGTCTGTGACTCCCTCTCTCTGACCCTCCCCTGCTCACGCTGTCTCTCTTTCTCTCTCCTAGAAATAAATAAAACATTAAAAAAATTAAAAAAAAAAAGACATGAAACGACAAGCCTGGGACGATACACCGGCTTCTTCGTGAACATGTTAACAGCATCTGGCCCGCGGCGGGGTCACCGGCCGAGATTTCCACGCAGCGTGGAGCAGAAGGGACCCTTGGGGGCGCCTGCAGCAGCCACGGCGTGGCACGAAACGCCTGTGCCGTCTCTTGGCGTCTGCGGCTGGAGCCTCCTTCGCCCCGGAAGGAAATGCTGCACTCCGGGGCGGGGGGCGTTGGTGATGAGGGATGCTGGTTCTCATCCAAGGGTATGGACACCCAGGTTAGCGATCGCTGGCCCGGGAGAGGGAGAGGGAGTAGGGGAGTGGAGGGGGGGTCCCCTTCCTGAAGGCTCTGAGGTCCGGGAAGGACCAGGTACTGTCTCGGATCAGGAGGGGGTGGCCCCCCCCCGACAGGTGGTTGGAGGAAGCGACTGGCTGGGAAGGACATGGGGGAGGAGCCGGGGGGGACCTCGGCACGAGCTCCCACGGGGTCCAGACAGGCAGTGGCCATGAGCATGGAGGTGAGGAAAACGGTGCAGGGGGGTGTGAAGGGAGGTGGGGCTTCCTCTTCTAAACGACCCCTGGACAGAGGCCAACAGGACATGTACTCAAAAAACTGGAAATGCCTTTTGCTTTGAGGACGTGGAGAATTTCAGCCCCTTCCTGGAACGACCCCAAACGCCGGGGGTTGGGGACCCCGGGGATGGCCTCTTGGTTTGCATCCCGGGCAGGGCGGGCTCAGGCCTCAGGGGTAGAGGGGGTGGCCCGCATGGTGGGGGCGTCGTGACCCAGAGCAGACGCTCCGTAGGGGTCCCGCCATGCTGCAGGCGCCCGTATGATGCATGGAGTCTACAGGGCCCTCAGGAAGGGCCGAGACCTCGTTTCTTCTCACCCTTTTGTCTACGGGTGGGGAAACCGAGCCCCCCGGACTGGCTGCCGCTGCAGACGGGAGCTGTCCCGCCCTCTGTAGCTTACGGCTGCTCCCGGGCCCTGGGCGCTCTGCATACGTTGTTTGACTCGGTGTTCTCGGTGCCTAGGAGGATCACGATCCTTAGGAGGAGGCTCCGGAAGGTGCGGGTCACAGCGTGTGGCGGGCTCCAATCTGGGTCTTCCTGCCAGACCAGGCCCTTCCGTCCAGACCACACTGCCCCCAGTGGTCACTACGACTTTTACAACCGCCTTGCAAAGGGGGTGTTCATTCCTAGCACAGATGGGGACACTGAGGCCCAGAGTGAAAGGAAACATACAAGCTCCCTCCTCTGCTTGGAGGCCGGGGTGGGGTCCCTGGGGTTGCCTTGTGCGCGGGCAGGCTGGGCTCACGCGGGCCGCGGCGGGCTATGGGCTGGCCCCGCGCCCAGATGCTCTCTCCGCTTACAGGGAATCTGTGTCCAGATGTCAAGGGCCGCTGCCAGGAGACAGTGGGAGCAGCGCCCCCTGCTGCTCACGCTCCTTTCTGCCTCCCGCCCAGCAAACAGGACACCCCCGGAGCTTCCCTGGGGGGGCGTAGGGGACCCCTCCCGTGGGTGCGTGTTCCTCGAAATTTGGCGCTTTGGGAAAAGCAGAGGCTCCACTGTCAGGGCCTGCAGGGAACAGGACGCCAGCTGTCCGCAGCCCAGGCTTCCCGACTGGGTTCTGCGGGTGTCCCCCCGCACCTGCCACACCCTCTCTGGTCCGCCACCGTCGTCCACTCTCCGACACCGCCCGCGAATGCTGGAGACTGTTTTGTTGGCGTGAATTTGTCATTCATTCGTGTATATTTACTGCCCCTCACCGCCCCCATGTTTAAGGCTCTTCATGAACAGGATAAAAAAGAGAAGAGAAATAGAGCAAAGCAAAAAAAAAAAAAAAGGGAGGGGGTAGGAAAAATAATGGGAAGCCGGAAGTGAGGGTAATATACAAACTGTTATCACGAGATGATATTTTCAGTGCATGCTCATAAATTTGTCTCTGAGCTTCCTGGTAGCCAAGGCAAAGAGGGAAACAGGATGTCCATGTGATGGAAACAACGATGCCCGTTGCTCCCAGGCAGCCTATTTTTTCTCACCGTCAGGAGGGGACAAGGGTCCCCCAAGGAGCCTCAGCAGAAAGATGCCGCCGGTGTCCTGACAGCTTCCTCCTCAGCTCGACCTGTGTGGCTCACCCTACAATATTCCTCCGTGGGGACGAGGGGACAAGCCCAGGGGTCTCACAAGACGCGCCATTAGTCAGAGGGTGTGGTTTGCACTTTCCTGGGGTCCCGGGATGCCAGGGGAAGCAACGGCCTCAGCAGTGGGGCCCGAGCTTGGCAGAAAGTTGTAGAAGGTGATTCAGGAGCAGGTGTGAGATCCTGAGGCTATGCGAGCCGCCTCGCCTGCACACTCCTGAGCACACCTGTGCCTGGCCAGGCGTCCCCAGGTGCCACACTGCTGCCGGCCGGGAGATACACGAACCTTCGTTCCACCAACGGACTGCGGTCGGCCCACGTGGCTTGGGACACACAAGCCAGCAGGGCAAGAAGGTTCTAGAAGAAGGGAGAGGATCTACAGGGAAGGCCACGGGAACCGTGTAGTAAGGGCCGCAGACGCTGTTCTGGGGCCGTCCAAGAAAACGTAGCTTGGGGCCCGAGGCATGGTCCCCATGTCAGCGCTGGGGCGGGGGTGGGGCGGGGGTGCGCAGCAGGCCAGCCCCCAGCCCAGCCGTCCCAGCCCTGCACCCTGCCTTATCTGTGGGCTCATGACACATGCCTTCTGGGGCCCCCCTGACATTCGTGGGCGAAGGGGGATACTTGCCGCGGGGCCCTGCGGATGAGGGTTCTTGCTGTAAACGGTGACCTTGCTTCTGGGTTGCAGCTGTGACATGACCGCCATCTAGGTCATGCCTGTCCCTGCTCCAAATAGCAGCCCCTTGCAGAGGGGGACGGTGTCTCATCCCCCCAGGGCGGAGCACTGGGCGTCGCACAGTTACTACTTACGCCCATCGGAATGGAACTGAGCGCATCGGGCCGGGCCTGGGCCGGGCCGGGGTCCGCCTGCCCTGGGGGCCCCCCGTGCCGCACCTCCACCTCTGCAGAGCGCCGGACAGCGGGGCCGGGCCCCGGTCCTCAGGCCGAGCTGTCCAAACTCGGGGCAGCCTCTGCCCCGTCACCCGACCCTTGTCCAGGCCCGGGCCTCATGTCGGGTGAGGTCATAGCTTATGTCACTTGGGGACCTCAAAGACCATCCCGGGCCACACCTCGGCCTGTGATAAGACTCATCGGCCCACATCAGGGGGTGACTCAGAGGGTGAGTCAGGGGGGTGGTGACTTGGGGCCACATGTCTGCAGGCCCCTCCCCTTGGCATCGGCCACACTTAGAGGAAGTGAGCCCCCCCGAGAGGGAGCCCTCTCCCCAGGCCTGGGGCCTGGCAGGACCCGGGGGAATGGAGGGCCTTCCCGAGTGGGTCGCCTCTGAGAGGGGCTCTGAGCACAAGGGCGGGGGCTGCTGGAAGGGGTGCACAGAAGGCAGGGGGGGGCTCTTGCAGGATTCAGGTACAAGATGGCGCCTCAGCTCCCGGTCCTTAAGGGGAGTGACAGAAAGCGCCGCTCAAACTGGCCTCAACGAACGGGAATTGACCTTCCTGACTGGCCCGTGGTGGGCTGGCATCAGGTGTGGCCCGATCCAGGGACTCCCAATGTCCTCCTACCCGTGTAGACTGTGTTCCCACG